CTGCCTGCCCTTCAGGAAGATGCTCACTCCTCCTGAAAAGAGGTATCAGGGGTTGCTTAGCAATAGAAAGATGGCATCTGCCTGTCAGATGACCCTTCTCAGATTATTTCCTGGATAAGGACAATAATTGCATGGAAGCATGTCCTGTGGCTGACATCCCCCTTGCAATGTCTAGGTTAACACAAGGATAAATACTGTGCTTCAGCTGCTGGCATCTCTTTTCTGGGGAACTAAAATGCAACAATATGTGATATTGCTTTACCTAACAGTATCTTTAGCTAATATTATATTCTGTAAATACATATTTAGGAATGGCTGCAATCTGTCCAGACACAACAGCATAAAATAAATGCTTCACTAATGATAAGGAACAAAGGTTACTGCCCCTAATGGAAGAGAGGCTATTGAAAGGCTTTGACATGCATCCTGGCTGACTGTCACCCAGAGTGCATGAGTTTCTTCTTACTTTTCTGAATCTTAGAATTCTGCAGCCCCCTTGGAAATGTTCTGATTCATTGTCCCTGAGGCACTTGCTAGTCAGTGAGCAGCCAATACAGCACAAGACACTTGGTAGAATATGTCATTTACTTTGATGAATTAATAAATTAGATAGCTGACCTAATATCTGTGATTATTAAAAGTGAAATTTCATATTGCACATGAAATGTAAATCAGTGGTTGAAAAAAATATTCAAAAATAGCACCATGGAAACCGGATGAAATGAGTTAAAGTTTTGCAGCCGAACTCAGCAAGACAAAAAGAATTCTCTCAGTCCCTGCAGCTGATCCTAGGTGCTCCCAGTACAACCACACTCACCACAAGTACGATCACAGTCAGCACTGGAATGATTCCATTTAGTCTCCAGAGGATTCCAGTTGCCACCAGCTTAGGCCCAGTTACTCATGGTCATTTCCAGTTCATTCCCCATGATTTCAGTTGCTCACAGCCGCTCCCATTCACACGCAGACAGTTCCAAGGAGCTGCCAACATGCTCCCAGGCAAGCACAGCTGCTCCAAGATGCTTCCAGCAACATCCCACTTGCTCACAGCCACTCCCAGTCACCCTCAGTGTGGTCCCAGTTGCTCCCACTATTCCCCAGTCACACCCAATTGCTTCCTGCAGGATGCCAGTTTTTCGTAGTCACCCTCAGAGTGGTCCCAGTATGATCCCAGTCACCTCCAGCTGGACCCACGTTTCTTCCAGTATAACCCAGGAGCTCCCAGTATATTCCTAGTCATTCCCAGGAGGAACCCAGTCACTCTCAGTGTGGTCCAGTTGCTACCAATATGATGCCAGTCCCCCCAGCATGGTTCCAGGATCTTGCAGGATGATGTCAGTGTGTCCCCAGACACCTGTCAGAATGGCATTTCTAGCTCCAAGTCACCACCACTATGGTCCCAGTCACACCCAATAGCATCCCAGCCACCCCCAGCATGGGCCTCTTGGAATGACTAGGAACATGCTGGGAGCACCCGGGCTATACTGGGAGTAGCTGGGCTCCTGCTGGAGGTGGCTGGGATCATATTGGGATCATACTGGGACCACACTGAGAGTGACTGTGAGAAAGTGGAATCCTGCTGGAAGCAATTGAGTGTGACTGGGAGCATTCAGGGTGTGACTGGGGTCAAGTGGCCCTATTCTGAGTGTGACTGGGCTCCTATTGGGAGTGGCTGGGAATGACTGGAATCATCCTGGAGGTGACTGGGATTGTAATGGGGGTGAGTGGGAGCCCCCAGGACCATGCAAGGAGCCAACCGGGTACATTCTGGAACCAATGCTGCGGGGACAGGAACCACACTGTGGCTAACTGGGAGTGCCTGGGACCATGCTGGGGGTACAGGAACCACACTGTGGCTAACTGGGAGTGCCTGGAACCATGCTGGGGGGACAGGAACCACACTGTGGCTAACTGGGAGTGCCTGGGACTATGCTGGGGGAGACTGGGATGCTACTGGACTTACACCGGTATGAGAGTGGGAGTGACTGGGGCTGTTTGAGAGGAGTTGCAAGACGTTTTCAACTTTGGAGCCGCACTTTGCTTTGTTTGGAGAGAGTCGGGGTGTGTTTCCTTCTTTGGCAAGGACGCACTGCCATCTGTGCCTGTCCTGGCCCGGCGGGATTGGCAGCAGTGTGCAGGGTCCGGAGGGACAGCCTGGCTCTGCGGGGTGAGGCTGCACAGAGGCAGGTGGGAAATAACCCTCTGGCTGCTGGCGGTGCAGTTTATAGGCTGCAAAAGAAGGCTATGTGCAGCCTTGGCTCTTTCTTCTACAACCCCTTCAGTGGCATCAGCTGCTGTAGGGTTTTCATCTTGTGACAGGGGGTTGCAAGGCTGAACAAGGTACACAGGGGG